GCTCTCATCACTTACCCGCTTCAACAATTTGGTGGAGAACTGGCGACGCGCCAGACACGGTCTCACTACCACGCCCTATCATCTCCAGCGAACAGGGATGCAATCGCATGCTCCCACTTAAAGGCACACCATTGGTTGGCGATTTTGCTGGGGTCCGTGCGACCACTTTCTTGGGAGGGGGTGGCTTAGTATGACCTATTCCCTCCTCTGATACAATAGAGCTGTCGGAGGAGGGTGGAGCGGGGTATACATACACTGCGAACCATAATCATAGTTCCACCATGAATCTCACAAAATCCGTCTTACACGACGTTTTCAAAAATGCCCCCATACAGAAAATGTGGTAATTACCAATACCAATTCGCATGCCAACACCAAACTCTAACTTGAAAAAACTTTTTTTCGTCAATTTTTTCAAAAATGGTCGTTCTGACAATGCAGCAAAATGATAGTTCCACCGAACAAATCGAATAATCCAACAACAAGTGTACAATAAAATGAATAAATTTTGATCCAGTAATCTATTGGAACTCTATTTCTCCGATTAAGTTGTACATAAAATACGGTTGCCCATGCTCGACTAGAAACTTCTAATAGCTTTCGGCCGATTGTCCCGATGAACTCCCTAAGCTCACGGACATTGTGGAATTGTGCATTACTCTCATGGATCATACGCACCATGAAGCCCCTCACATCCTCGATTGGGTTTTAGTCGGGGCTACTCGCTGGCTAGGGCAAAAGAGCGGTTTGGTGACGACTGAACCACGCTCGAGTGCTTCGACTGTCATGAACTGGTGCATTATCCTTGCATGAAAACGGGACTTTCTTGCTGATTTCTACGCCAGAAAGCAAGGACGTCGTCGCATGACTTTTAGATGACGGAAGAAATCATTTTTTTTTCATACGGAGCACAGTTTCAGACGTTCCATTGATGCGATGGCAGCCCAGACCATGAGACCACATCCACTGAAGTTCCGCCCGGAAAAATGAAACTTGTCTTCCCTCAGGTCGTGCCAGCGGAATCGGTTTTCGTCGGAGCCGTCGCAGTTGAATTTTTTCTCATCAGAAAACACGACGCGAGAGAAAAAACTGAAAAACAACAGAGACAAGC